AGATCACAGCACACTGACTTGCCAGCTGGGAATCTTCCCCCAGTCACCTCAGCCTGGGTTGCTCTGCAAGCCCCGGGGTCAGCAGGTGGAGTTAGCAACCATGCTGCTCGGGCCTGAGGACAGGCCTCTGTGTCCATGCACAGACGCACAGGCGTGCGTGATGACAGCAAACTGCCCGGAAATGTGCTGGCCTGGGCCCCAGCCGGGCCTCTCCCTGCCTCCTGCCACGGCATCCGTGGGTGCAGGAGCTTGAGTGGTGCTGGCAACAGCTCACATTTGTAAGAAAGGGCCTGGCGTCTGAGGACTCACATGCTTGCTGGTCCATCCCTCACGGGTATGGCCCCTGGCAGCTACTGAGTCGCGGCGTTCCAGAAGTTCAAGTCTGAGGACGGAGTGTAACCTCACCGTTTTTTCTTGAAACCACGTTATCCGTCCCTGTCTTCTGTCATGGAGGGTCGGGGAACTCACAGCACCTGGTAGAGTTGCTGGTGGCGTGAAGGCAGATGGCAAATCTACCTTGAGAAGTGGGATGTGAGTCCAGGCGCTTGCAGTTCTCGTGAGCCTCATCTTTCTCCTCTATGCAGCTGAGGGACTACCAGCAGAGAAACAGCTTGGGGTCTCCTGCAGGAGCCAGGAAGAAAGGGAAGAACAAACGTGGCCGCAGGCCAGAGACACCCACTTCTGGTGGCTGGGAGACATCGAAAGATGTAAGTCTGGCCCAGCCAGCTTCCTGGGAGAGGGGTGCTCTGGGGCCACAGAGTGAGAGGTCAAGCACACAGGAGCACCAGTGAGGAGCCTGGGTCTGAGTGCGGCCTCTGGGCAGCTCTGCTGGGATTTGATTTGGGGCAATGCTGTTGAAACTCTCCCTGCCCCCGAGAGTCAGGGCACTGCAGTGCTCCCGAAATCCAGGCCGCATCTGTGAGAGGATCGCGTGTTCATCCCTCCGTGCGGGGCTGGTGCACAGCACGCCTTCGGCCCTGGGCGTGGCCAGTGACTTCTCACTCTGGCACTTTCCCTCATTCCCGGCCTCCGGAGGGAGGCAGCCAGTGAGAACCCCTTCCCAGTTCAGGCGGCACAGATGCCTGGTGCCTGGGGCCAGGCGGCCTCTGAGGTAGGAGTCTGTGTTTGCCGCCTGCTTGACAGGGGTTCCACGCAAAAAGCACGTCCTCCCCGGGACTCAGCTGTCTCCCCAGGGAGAGGGGACTGTGGGGCCAGACCAGCGTGCTCCAGGCGGATCTGGTCGTGGGGCTCCGTCCCTTGGCTTGAGTAGCTTTCTGCCTCAGGCGAGGTGGTGAGCGGCCATCGGGAAGGATGCGCAGGCCGGGGTGTGGACCAGTCTTCCTGCCTCTGGCCCCAGTGGTCCAGAGCTTCTCTCTCTCTCCTCTGACCTTCTTGTCCTCTCTGAGCCGCTTTTCTCTTCCTCCCCTTGCCCTTGTTTTTTCCCTTTTCACCTCCTGTAGCATCAGGACATTCCGCAGGTGCTGGTGTCCGACCTTAGCCCCTCCAATGGGGTAGCGCCCAACACCCCCGGCCAGGAGGAAGGCGAGGCTGCGACGAGACCCCTCTCTTGCCTGCTGTCTCCCCATGTGTGGGCCATGGCTTGTCTGGCACGGGGTCCTTGGCCTCTGGCTGGGTTCCATTGCCATCGTTAACCCTTGGCGTGTCGGCGTCTGTGCTTTCACCGGCTCGGCTGATGGCTGGTTTCCTTACCTTGCATCTTCGTCTTCTCGGGAAGATGCCATGCACCGTGAAGGGTGAAAGGTCATTTGGGAACAGCTTCCAGAGCAGGGTTGTGAGATAGGGCCTTCCGGGCCTCCAGCGTGAACGCTCGGGGCCGTCCTGCAGGAGAGTGTCCTAACCGGCCCGCACGGGGCTTGCCCTCAGGCTAAGAGAAAGGGGCTTCTATTCCAGGTGCAGGGGTTGAGGCTCGCTTGGAGCAGGACTGCAGAGCGACTGAGGTTAGCCAGAGAGGAGCTATTGGGACATTCTGCCCCCGTTGTCTTTTAAAAATCAACCAGACACTCACCCACCATCCAGGGGCCCTCGGCAGCGGGCGCTTTGCTTGGCCACACAGTGGGATGTGGAGCTGAGGGAGCAGTTGGCTGTAAAGGGCGTGCAGGCTGGAGGGGTGGCCCTCGAGACCGATGTGTGGAGGCGGGCGGTGCTCATCCCCGTGGAGAGCAGGGCAGGTGGGAGTCGCGGCAGAGGGCTGGTGCGGGAGAGGATGAGGGTGCGGAACGCAGAGAGCGCTTTTCAAGAAGGTAAGTAAGGTGCCCGGGGTGCCCTGGGCTGAGAAAAGACATTGTCCCGAGGTGAAGCGCTGCTTCCGAGGTACATGGGAGGCCTCTGGGGCGGGGCGGGGGGGGTCAGACAGCCACCCGGCGACAAGAGGACAACTGACAGGGACAGATCCCGTCCAGGACAGCGTGGCGGGAGGGCTGTGCCGGCCCAGGTGTCCGGTGTGAGTCTTGTAGCCAGGATAGCTTGTGCCCAGTCCATTGAGTCTGTGTGGTGCTGGGACTCACCTGTGGGCTCAGAGCAGGCACTGAGAGGCACCCGGGGGAGCACAGGCTTCCTTCCCCTAATGCTCACCCCTGTCTCCTTTGTTCCCCTGGAGATGAAGACCCAGACCCCCATACGCCTGTTTGTTTTTAAGCCTCTCCGTGACATTAGGGTTTCCCGCTCACGTTTTCTGTCCCAGCGACATGGGCCCGTGACTGGTGTTCTGGGCAGAGCTGAGGGCATTTCCAGAGATGGGGGATTCTGAGTGAATAAAACAATTTCTAACGGAATGGGACCTTTGAGGGGGCATGGACAGTGTTATCTTCTTGAAATCCAGACTTAGCTACAAGGCTCGAAATGACAGAACGCGGTTGCTCACGAACCAGCCATGTATATTTCAGAGAAATAGTACATCTCAAGATAAAGGACATTTTCCCCTCGTGAGCTTTCTTGTGTCTAACTAAGCATCAGCGGGAGACCAGCAGGCACCCAGAGCCTGCCAGGCCCCAGCTAGACGTGCCCACCTCACCCCAGTGCCTTGCTCTGGCCTCTTAGGGTCTGTTGTGGAGGTTGGCACAACAACACCAGGCTCCAGGCCAGAGGTGGGCAATAAGCACATGCACAGCGGGACTCTCCACCCAGGCTCTGCAGTCCTTGCTCTAAGGAGGGTTGTGATTGGGTTTTCAGGGCCATCTGAGGGGTCCAGAGAATAGGAAGCCCTTCCCTCCGAGGGAGCTGCAGTCCCTTCCTAGTGCCCCTGCCATGCCCCTGCCTCCCTCAAACTGGAGCTTGTCGGCCACCCTTCCTGCCTCTCCTTCCGGCCTGCTGGATGCCAGCTCTCAAGGGCCAGGGGTTTGAGTTCAGTGTGGGGCCTGAGCCTGGAGAGGCTAGTGGGCCTCTGGCCGAGCAGGTGGGTCCAGCTAGGGAAGGGGAGGCTGCTTCTCTAAAGCTCTGGGCTTCCAGGAAGCCACAGGTCAGGGGTTCAACATCTGCTCTCTGGTGACATCTCGGGTGTGTGGGTGTCCTTGAGCTCAGAGGTCGGGGTGCAGGAAGCGGCCAGCTTTCTCTTTTACCAAATCCAGCAAGAGAGAATGGAGTCCAGGGGGCAGCTTCTTCCCCAGAGAAGGGAGGGCCGCCCCACCAGAAATAAAATAATTCTGATGAAATGGGGCAATTGAGGGGAGTGTCTTTTTGAACTCCAAACTTAGTTCCTAGCTCAAAGGATGTATTTGGTCACTCAAAGACCAGTCATGGACATGTAAGTTCTAAGGATTGGGCCTTTTTCCCCCTCCTGTGTGCTCTTGTGTCTTAACTGTAAAGATCCAGGGAACCCAGGAGGCAGGAGGCACCAGAGCCTGCCAAGCCCCAGCCAGGTGTGCCTGCCTCGCCACAGCCCCTGCCCACCTGCTGCCTTGCTCTGGCCTCTTAGGGTCCAGTGTGGAGGTTGGCATGGCAACACCAGGTTCCAGCCACTGCCCTTGGCCCCCGCCCCTGCTGAGATTCCCGCACCGCTGACCCCTGAGTCCATCCCCGGGGCTTTCTGGCTGGGGGAGGAGGACAGGAAGAAGGGGCACAAGAGGGGAGAGAAGTACCTGGTGGCCTTGCTGTCTGCCTCTCACACTGCCACTCTGCCCTGCAGGGCCCAGGGTGCGGGCCAGGCGGGCTTTCCAGAACAGTGCCTCACTTCTCCCGGGCTTGGCACACCTTTCTCCTGCAGTGACAACCTGTGCCATGCCCACCCAGGCTGGGGCTGTCGTCTGGAAGGCCCCAGAGCGCCCCAAGGCCTGGACTCCCTCGGCCACGCGCCACGGTGGCTCCCAACATGGGACCGTCCTCTGGCCACAGCAGCTCCGTGCTCCCTGCCCGCAACCCTGCACCCTGGCAGTGAGGCAGCCCCTTTCCTGCATGGCTTCCCTAACCCCCACCCCGCTCTGCCCTGTGCCAGGCGCCCTGTGGTCGCACCCCTCCTGCGGAGACACCGGCTGGGAACCATGACACCGTGTCCCCTGGTGTCCCTCCTCCCGACGCTGCCCTCCCTGATGCGAACAGAACGGCGTCCACTCTGGTCTGTGCCCCTTATCCCTGCCTGCACCCCACTGGCTCGCCCGCCCTTCCGGAAGGACCGTGCCTCCCCCATTCTCTCCCATGTCCTCCATGTCACTCGCTTCCTAGAGCCGAGAGCCCTTCCCGAGGACGAGGACGGGTGGGGAGGCTGAGAGCTTGGGGAGCCAAAGGTGGTCAGAAAGCGCTGGGCCCGCCCCAGCCTGGTGGGCTCTCCCCAAACTGAATGGCTGCCTCCTGCATTTCTTCCCACACAGAACCGTGACGCAGAACATGGCTCTGGTTCATTGGGTGAGAGCATGTGAGTGTCTCCCATGGGGCAGCAGCCCCTCGTAGAGGGCGTTGGGGCACCTCATGCTTGTGACCCCCACCCCACTGAGCTTCCTGTGGCACCGACTCCTCTGTCTCCAGGGCTGTCTCTTCCACCGAAGGCCTGCGGCAGCTGTCCTGTCAGCTGAATGGACTTCCAGCAGAGGTGCCCTGGGGACAGGGCCCAGAGGGGTTATGGGGGAGGTTCGATAGGAAGACACTGAGGGAAGGTTCCCAAGGGAGGCAGCATCCTGGGGCCGGCCCTTGCCACCAGGGGATGTCTGGCTGGCCGCTGCTCCTTTGGAGCGGTCAGATGAAGGGTCGGCCTGTGAGTCTGCGGTTCCATCCTGCCGCAGAAGCATGGGGTGAGGGGTCAGGGGGAGCTCAGTACCAGGAGAAGTTGGCACAAAGGGATTATGAGCAGAAGGGAGGCAGGAAAAGGAAATTTTGCCAGTGGATGGGGAATTCGGGGGCTTAGGCCTTGAGGGGGACTGAGAGCCGCTCCATGGGCGCTCCACCTCCCTCCTAACCTCCCTCCTGTGTCAACGGGGAGGACCAGGCATCTGTTGTTAACACAAAGGATCTGCAGGCCAGTCCCCCCCTTCTCCCAGGGTGGGGGCTGGGTGCCCCACTACCAGGTGAGACTGCCCAGATGCCCTCCCAACCCTGCGGACTGCTCTCTCTCCCTGCCCCCCGCTCCTCCAACCCTCCTCCTCTCTGCATGCACCTCAGAGCTGGCATCAAGAACTGGCACTAGAACCAGTCTCCAGCAATCTAACAAATAAGCAGCTCACTAGCAAGACAGAAGAACTGGAAAGAGCCCGCTGGGGCCCTGAATTCCAGCTGCAATCCAGGACTCCGATTTCCTCTTGGGCCCAGAAGAGAGGGTCCAGGGGTCCTGGTGCCAGGGGAGAACCTGGTGTTGGAGGATCCAGGGCTCAGCTTGAGGGGCCCCGGAGCACAGAGCTGGCAGCATGGCTCTCTTGTGGCTGCCCTCTTTGCCCCTTCTCTGCTCCCCAGACACCCCTGCTGTGCTCCCCCTCCCTGGGGGAAGCACTGGTTTGGCTGGTGTGGTCCAGCCCTGACTCAGCCCCTCACTTCCTCCGCTTTCACCTTGGACAAGACACCTCTTCGCCCTGGCTTTAGTTCCTCCAGGAGGCATATGTAGAAGGTGTCAAGGTCTCCAGTAGCTCAAACAATCCCAGGTCCTTTTCCTTCCTCCCCCTCTTCCTGTGCACAGAACCCAGCCTGCAGCTCGTGCCACCTCAGTCTCTGTCGGGTGAACAGACAGACCCTGCCAGGTCAGACGCCGGCAGAAGGGTCGTCTTCCCTTCTCAGACTCTGCCTGGGGCTTAGGGTGTTGTCCTCCAGGAGAGCCAGGTGCAGACTCTCCCCTCTGTCGCTGCGAGCAGCGCCACCCAAGGTCTTGTCTCCTTGGGAGCGTGAGGGTGTGGCAACTCATGCATGAGAACTTCAAACCCATCGCTGGCCCTGCACATGTCCCCTCTCTGGTCTGAGAAGACAGAAAAGGGGGACACTCAGTTCCCTTCCTTTGACTTTTCCCCACAGAAACAACAGAACCAGGAAACTTTGGATCAGCTGGAAACAGTAACATTTTCTTGTTCTTTCCCTGACATGGTGGTCTGGAGGTGGGCTGATATGGGGCATCTGGTCTTGCCTGCTTCCAGCCTGGAGACAAGCAGGGCCCCCGGCTCCTCTCCTGCCCCTTTCCCCCACCCCCATGGTCTGGGCTTGCGGTAGGCCCATCTGGCCCACTGGTGGCCCGCGGTGCTGTGCCTTGCCTCTGCCTCCTGGAGACCCTGATTCCCTTTGCAGGAGAAGAAAGACCACGAGCGGAAGCTGGTGAGGGAGCAATGTGCACTCCAGGAGCAGTTACAGGTGAGGGCAGCCCGGGTTCCCCGTCCCCGAGGAAATGCCTCTTTTCCACATCATTCCGACTCATTTGCTTTGTTTCCCAAGAGTCACATCCAGACCACTGGGTTCTGGTGTCTGAGAAGACGGAACTGAGGGCTGTGCTGGCCCACGCTCAGCAGGCAGCCAGGCAGAAAGCAGGTGGGGCTCCAGGCGCCCTTCATCCGTGCACCTGGCACATGGCAGGCCCACGGGGCGGTGGGGGGACTCCTCCTCAGGGCTGCGCTCTGACCTGTCTCACGGCAGGTGAGTCGGAGGAACTGGCCGGTCGCCTCCAGTCTGCGCATCTGTGTTGGAGAGCTGGAGTGCATGCTTTCTGCCGTCTCCACCCATTGCAGACAATCTGACCAGGTGAGCACTGCCGCCTGCCCAGCCCCTGGTGGGTGCCCCCCCCATCAAGGTGGGGGAGAGCCTCAATGTCCCTGATGTGGGATGGAGCTCTTTCCGCCCAGAAGGTAGCACAGCCAGCTGCTCGAAGGCTGTAGTCAGTTGTGGCCTGAGGGGGGTGGCCGCTGTGCGCCTCGTCCTTTGCTCCCGAGATCCTAGTGAAGGCAGGTGAGAAAGGGGCTCGGAAGTGCTTTGAAAAGAGGTGAAGTGTGACTCCGGGCGAGGAGGGCTGCTCTGTGCTGGTCCCTGTCTAGTAACGAGTCTGCAGGCTGCATCCCTGCCCACAAATCCTGACCTCGCCTTTGCCTCTCATGTCTGCAGCACAACAAGGAGCTAATCCAAGAGAGAGACGCTCTCAAGCAGGAGTTATCTGAGAACAAGTAGGCCTGGGGGCAGGTGGGGTGCTGGGGGGCAGGCTTTGGGCCCAGCCCTGTGCTGGGCAGTGGAAAGGATGCAAGTGCATGGGGTGAGGAGGGCAGAAAGCTCGCGACCTCTCCCTGGCCAACCTCTGGCGATGCTGAGCCCTGGGGCTCTGGGTCCTGCCACTGCTCTGGGGTCTGTGGCGAGGGTGGGTAGATCTCCAGGGGGACACTTTCTGGCTCTGGTTATGCCTCTCCCCTTTGCGTGGCCCTAGCAAAGCCATTGAGGACCTGCAGCAGTGCCACTCCGAGCTGGAGGAGCGGCTCCAGCTCTTGTTGGAGGAGAAGGACACCATGCAGGCGAGACTGGAGGACCTGGAGAAGAAGCTGGAGATGTCTGAGCTGCTGTCGAAGCAGGTGAGGGGCTGGAGCAGAACCCCAGAGAATCTGTGCTCCATCCAGGTGGGCTGGGTCTCTAGGGTGACTGTGATCTAGCTGAAACCCTTTCGGGGGACATTGCACAGAAGACGCTGGGCTCCATACATCCCCCCTCACTTTTTGAAAATTTTTACTGTTGCATATAAGTGGGGGGTAGGCAGGGTGAAAGGACTCCCCAGAGACAGCAGGGAGCAGAGCAGGCAGTGAAAACCCATTGCTGAGGGGAGCAGCAAGGAGACAGGAGAGGTCCGCTGCACCCTGTGGGTAACACCCTGACCAAGAAACTCAGCCAGCTGCAGGAGAAGCTGGCAGAGCTGCAGGAAATGGTGAGCCCTGCGCCAGCTGGGAAGGTCTCGGGGCCTCCGGGAGGGAGGCCCTTAGGCCAGGACAGAGGGAGCCCCAACTCAAAGCGGGGGGCACTGGTGACCTTGTGTCCTGCCGGGTCCATGGCCACCTGTGCCCTAGGCTCTGCCATGGAGCATGGACCCAGGACTGTCGGTCACCTCCCTCCTGGAGGCACGAGCCACTAGCAGAGAGATGAGACATGGAGACATCCTGGATTCCAGACTCGGCTCCAGGCTCACTCTTCACTGAACAGTGCTATGCTCAGCATCCTTCCCTTCAGAGGGCACTCGCAGGCAGTTCTGAGGAGAGTTAAGGAAGGGGCCTGGGCAGGCGGCAAAGTCCCACAGTGCCTGCCTCAGGAAGAGGGGCCTGGCCTGTCCCCCGCATCTGTTGGTGCAGATCTGGGAGGTGCCTCAGTGGCGGGAGCCAGCAGCAGTGGTGGCCTCTCACTCTGCTGCTCCAGCACAAGGCCATTGTGGCAGTTGCTCCTCAGAACTGGCCTTTTCTGCACGCTTCCTGTTTGATGGACTAAAAAGGTGCGGGCTATTAGCTGATGGGTGCCAGACAGTCCGGTCAGCCGCAGGATGAAAAATGGTCCAGGGCCTCCCCGGTGGCCCAGGGGTTAAATCTCAGCACCATCACCACTACTGCCTGAGTTTGATCCCTGGTCGGGAGCCGACCCACGGGGCGCAGCAGACCCCTCCTGCCTTGTCGGCTGCTCCCCTCAGCAGTGGAATTCAGTGAGTCGGCCTGTTCTGCTCACTCTCCACCTCTGGTCAGCACCCTGGTTCTTCTGCACAAAAAAGGAAAAATGTTCCAATCAAACTGATGTCAGGGCACCCTGAAGAGTGATAAAAGACAGGGTCAAAGGGAGCTCAGGGGCTCTGTTCCCACCTCCAATGAAAGAAGGGGAAGAATCTGTTCCTGGCCTCTGAAGAAAGAAGGACCAGAAGCTGAAAGAAGAAAAGCAGCGTCCAGTAGCCAGCCTGTGCGGGAGGAAGAGAGGATGAAGACCTCTGGCAGAGACTGGCCTCTAGTCCTGTGTCTCACATCACCTGCAGGGGGCGCCCAAGGCTCTGGCCTCGTGTCTGAAAGAGCTGCTTGTCAGTGTTGTCCAGCAACTCACAAAGGGCTTTTAACGCTTGGTGTCTCTGACACCGGCTGGGATCCCAACTGAAAAGGGGAGTCACAGGGCATGAGGATGGGATGCCAGGACAGGCCACAGTGGCCACCCACCTGCCCCGGCTCGAAGACAACAGAACCACCAAAAAGCCCCAGCGCCAAAACCAAGGGCCGTAGCAACACAGTCCCCATCGATAGGGGCCTACAGGCTACAGCCGAGGGAAGGATAGTGCCTGGTAGGGGACTCATCACTGTGCATCTCAGCCATGTGCACAATTGCAAGAGATTTCAGCCTCTGGGAACAACCAACTTGGGGGTCATTTTACAAATAGGCAACAGCTTACTGTGGCCACAAGTGGTGTCTGGCTCACCCAGGTAGTGTCCACCAGAAGTACCAGCAGAGTTCCAGTCCCCCATCACCAAGAGTGCTGGGCAGCACTGGCCAGTAGTGATGGTCACTACTGGTTCCCCTGTGGTAGTGTCTAGCTGAGGTAGCTGGGTTCTGGTGACAATTTGGAGACCGACCACCGCCTGCCCTCACCCTCCCCTCCCCGCGTCTCCCCTGCAGGTGGAGGAGAAACATCAAGAGGCTCAGGAGCTACAGCAGCAGCGGGACCAGTACTTTGGTCACCTTCACCAGTACATGACTGCCTACCAGCAACACGTGGCCGCCTACCAGCAGCTGGCCAACGAAAGGGATGTCCTGCAGAAGCAGGTGCTGCTTAACACCCAGCTTGTCCACCAGATGCAGCACGAACAAAAGCAGAACAAGATTGAGGTGGAGTTGGCCTGCCAAGAGCTGCAGGAAACACAGGTGGGGAAGTTAGAGTGCCAGACCCCAGGGGGCCGCCCAAGCAGGAAGCCCTGTAAGTGGCATCCCTCCTCTGGCTTTCCTGACCCCTTAGGGCCGCCTGGAGGCTGCCAGCAAGCAGAACGAGCAGCTGAAGGCCCAGCTGAAGCTCATGGCTCAGACTGGAGCAAGTGAGTGGGACTTCAGCAAAGCGCAGCTTTGCAAGAGAGGGAAGCCATCCCTCGGAAAACTTGGATCCTTCTCCTTTGGGGACTTGCTGGAGCGGGGTTGCAGAGAGA